AAATAATTTAAAAAATAAATTAAAAAATTAAAAACAAGTGTAGTTTTTAATTGATTGTCGACCCTAAAAACATAAGTGAGTGTCACAATCCCATCGCTACGCCACTGCATAAATAAGGGCAAATCCCTTGATGCCTACATTAAACAAACAATATTTAGCATAATTAGCTTGACTTACGGCGGAAGATCTCAAATGTGACAAATTCTATCAAATTCTCCCAAACACTCGTACTCATTAGATATAAAATATTAATTTCAATCTCAAGTTATTAAATTAGATTAATTAAGCCTACGGCTGTCGCTCCCAGCAATACCCGGACTCGTTTTGCAAATACAGCCAAATCATGTATTTATATAGATATATATTTCATATCTCACCCGAATGGCAATCAATGAAAGTCGCTTTAAGCCGTTTTGCTTGGCCAAATTGGTTGCTGACGCCAGTTTTGGCGATAGGCTCCCACAGCGACAGCTCAGCGAAAGAGAAAAGCCAAAAAAGAAGGAGAAGAAAACCTAAAAAATATGATGACCCGATTATGATATGAGACCGTCTATAATTGCCATGAATATACAAATATATATATGTATGTCTATGTATACAATATATATTTGTTATTTATGCCCTGAGGGCAGAGCGAATAGAATGTGGAGAGGGCGGCGTAAAGAAATGAACTGAAACGGAAACTAAGGCCTTGTCTGACCTTTGATCAGAGCTAACACACACACACACACACACACATACATACATACACGCACACAAAGAGCTAGACAGATATAGGTATTATAGAAATCTGCAATGTTCACGTCTGTGGCTATTTATAAAGCCGGCTAAAAAAAAAAACCAAAAACTAAATACAAAAAAATTCGAAGCGAAAAAAGGACGTAAAACAAATAAACCCCGCGCTCTGCGTTCGACAACTTGTTAAACTTCAAACTGTCTGCAAACGCGACATTGTCTGATAAACGACAACAGCAACAGCCACTGCAACAACAGCAACAACAACAACAACAACAACAAGGAGCAGAGAAAGAAGAAGAGCAACGTCCATGCTGAGTGGGCAACTGTCTGGGCGATTGCATCTGCTCGACGCGGCCTCTGTGACTGTGACTCTCAGTTGCAGTCTGAGTCTCAGTCTCCGTCTCAGTCGCAGTCCAAGTCTGAGCTGGACTCTGGGCAAGAGCTGAGCCAGGATGCAGCCGCACGCCAACACTTTTTGTTTCAACGCGCACGATAGTGAAATGTGGCCCGGTTCGGTCGATGGACTGGCCCTACGATCGATGTCGATGCCGTCCGCTGCCCGCTGCCCGCTGCCTGCTGCCCATGGCCCGCTGCAACAGGCGACAGGCTAAGTGGATTGGTCGATGCTGCCATGGCAGATGGGGGCCGGCACGTTTAAATGCACTTTATTTGTTTTGCCAGCGAGCAGCAGCTACGTGCGCGCTGAGCCATGAGCCCAAAGCCCTTATCCCCCATCCCCCAAACCCAATCCCCGATCCTCGATCCTCGATTCCTGAGCCGTGAGCCATCAGCCGCCCTCTCATCACCATAACGAGCTGTCAATTGGCGCAGCTCGCATGTAAATCACTTACTAAAGCCACCAGGAGTCAGGACCGAACAAGAAAAATACTAAAACTCATTTTAATGGGAAATCAAAGAAAACCGTTAGCGTAGGAAAAGCTAAAGGTGAACAAAAAGAAATCCTTCGATAATTATTACATGCGCGGGCACGCAAAGATTACCAGAATTATTCTTCAGACTAGAATATAGAGATTGAAGGAAATACATTTTCAATCTTCTGCCGGATTTAACCTCTGCTATAATACTACATGTTCATAATTATAATTTGATTTCTACATAAATTATATTAATATATTTTTTATATTTTTCTGTCATGCTGGGAGTGTCCGACTAGGATAGTGCCTAAAGTTAATACTATTTTATATTTACATACATATCTCTTATACATCTACATTTCAAATAACATTTGTATCCACACACCCATACACAGGCACATGTATATATACACACACACACACACGATTCAGAGCTCTGCATTAACGCAGCAGCGACTGCGCTTGGCCTACATTAGGAGCTTTACTATGAGAACTTAAATTTTGAATAAATTGTCTTGAGCGAATGAATTTTCAGAGCATGATAATGACATGCAGATGTGTGTGTTTGCCAAAGCACAAGTTTCAAGTATTATTATTGTTTATATTATTATTTTAGACATATTTTTATATGTAAGTAATTCTATTAGTCACAGCAGAAGTCTTTAATATTTAAATAACTCATTTTGCGAATTTTGTGGTAATGAGGCATGGTATTCGATATTTGTTGTGTTTATCAGTATATTACTAGGAGAAATTTGTAGTTTTTTTTTCAGAGTAGCTTTTTTTCAATCAACCTACTCTTACGAAAATTAAACTATCGATTTTTATCGATAATAGGGAAATTGTATAAAAGATCGAGAAAAAAGACAAATTCTCAAAGTGTAGGGTATACAAAAAACGAAGCAACTAATATCTGTATTAATACGGATATGTCTGGGTAGCTACTGTCATCCTGACCAAGAATACATATATGCTTCATGGGATCGTTTACGCCTTCTTCTGTCCGCTGCATACGTTTTTAGAAAACGACGGCCTTCCATTTTCAATGGGTTTATATACCATATAGATATTTATTAGTATAGACTCGCATAAATATTTAATGCTCTATCACACTACTATTTTCATAAACACAATAGTATCTATTAGCCCAATTCCTTTAAGCTTATAAACTGTATTCAAATTCATTATCTGTATTTATGCCCTTTAAAAAATCATTTAATACCAAACAAATAATTAAATATTTAAATATATAAACTGGAGCTCAGTAGAAATACATCGAGTAACAAATTCTCTTTTTCCTTTTCGTTTCAGTATAAACCAAATATGAAGTCCCACAGACAGCAGTTCGAGTCGGCGTCATCGCCCAGGCTGTCGAGCTTCTTCTTTAACTTCTTCAGTTGCTGCTCATCGCTAAAAATGGCTTTGAAGACGCGCTTCGTGAATGCATCGGAGACGTTCAGTCTCTTCAGTAGTTTGAGCACTCGTTTCTCAAAGGCGCTATACGCTGCGGTACGCTGCTTATCCTTATCGCTGATATCGACTATGATATCTGCCCGATCGTAGCCGGATGCCTCTGAGTTGTCTGGCTGCTGTAGCTGTTGCTTTTCACGAATCGCATCGTAGGCGAGATACTCGTTGTAAATCCTTATCTTTTCGTCTAGCTGAGAAATGGGCAACGCCAATGCGATTTCGAGGCGTTCATATTGCTGCACGAGCTCCTTATTTTCAGTTTGATTTCTCAACTGCTGCAACGCGTTGCTGATCCTGTTCGTAATTATGCTGTCCAGCTGCAGCAGCTGCTGCATATGACTGATTGCCACTCCTGGGATGCACTGCATCAGCATTGGCATCAGCAACAACACCAGCGATAGCTCCACTGCTTTGATCATTCTTGACATGACGGCGAACTTCTAGCTTCCAACTGTTGGCAGACGATGAGCCACAGCTGCCTTATAAAGCGCTCACAGTTCTCTGATAAGCTGCCCCTGCTAAGCCTAAGTTATGAGCCGACATTTATTGACTTTTCAAGGCATCATGTAATAGGTGAAGGTCCGCACTGGGTTGTTGTTATTGTTGTACGCAATTTTTTATTGCTTAGTTTAGTTTTTTTTTTGTTCTACTTATTTGCTTCAATGAAATGTTCTATAGTTCTATAGTCTACAATAGTCTTTTACCCTTGCTTTTCTATGTGATTCTCACAAAAGAATGTAGTCACTAGGAAAAAAATAATATCAAATAAATTTTGTAATATTAAATAATTAACTCATTTCAGAATCACCCTTCTATGCGATGTTCATGGCTAGAAAGCAATTCATTCCCACGATGATTTTTAGATAGGATTTAGTTAAATGCACATTATACAATTTATTTAATGATTTTTGGTTTAATAATGATAAAATATTAGTATGATTCGCATCAATGGGCATCGATAGTGAATTCTGGACATGTCTATAAACTTTAAACTATAAACAATTGTTGTTAATATAATAGTAATTATAGAAAATAATATTTTGTATATACCTACCTATTATTCCTACGGCCAGTCGATATTGTAATCATTGAATAATTTTGAATATCCCTTCTCGATATTCTCTCTATCCATTTCGTATATTGTATAATTATCATAGGACGGTGTCGTGTAGTCATCAGAGTTTTGAGTGGCTTCCAAAAAGCCCAGGCTCGCAGGCGTTGTCTATAGGAAAATTCAAATTCAATAATTATTATCAATAATAAACTCAATTAATTTACTTACGATCGGACTGTACTTGTCCTGGAAGTGTAGAATTAATTTGTATCTCATTCTATTGATCGCTGATCCCATTTTTTTCATGGATAACTTTATGATTATCTCAATAAAGTTTAAAGCTTTCTTCTTGGCCGCCTGTAGGGCTGCGGTTTTTTTCGCAGCATCAGCTAGATAATTGATAACATGATTCATTCGTAATATTGTCTTCGGTACACGTAGATAGCCGTCAACAACGTATTCTTTGATTAACGGGCCCCAGTCAACTGAATCAACTTGGGAGTAGAAATGTTCCCGTAACTTTTCGAACACGGGTATCTTTTCAATTTTAGCCTGGACCATCAAAGTGGGAACTATAAAGAAAAAAAAACAAATTGTGGAATTTCGATTAGCCATACAGAGTTTACGTTTAAAACTAACCCAGGCCACATATAATTAAGAGACTTGTAAACATTCTCATTATTCACGAGCTAAGACAAAATGCAACTAATTTGAAAATCGAAGGGTTTTTACGTATTACAAATGACCATAACAAAATGTTTTTATTTTTTAATGAACCGTGCTGTGTGACTTGGCTATTTTCCATTGGCTCTAGTTTGGTCTGTTTGGATTGTATAAAAAATATATTTATTTAAGAAAGCCTTGACTAAAGAATATATTGAAATGAAATATTTAAATAAACTAAAAGTATTTATATACAAAAATGTTATAATAATTACATAAATATTAATTACCACATTTATTTATGTAGTTTCTTAATCATAGAAATTCTTCATGCTGAAAAAATGTATACATATATATTTTTTTTAATTTTCCTGGTTTCAAAATTAGGCAGATCTTTCGCCTGCATACGAGTAGTCTCCTTCCCTTTCTGCATAGTCCAGACCCAAAGTCTATGTGTGAGAAATAGATATTAAAAAATGTTTGCTATTAACTTAATTTTGTTTTTTCTTACGGCCTTCCTAGACTGTTGCTGTCTCCTCAGCATTTCGCGATAGAGGCCCATAACATGGGTATTCACAAAGATAACAAATCTCCTCAGTTCGCCTGTTGTATATAGCTTAAATTTGTTGCCGATCTTCTGCCACAGAGCGCGCCTCCATTCATCATAATCAGTATATTCGCCCAGCTCGTTGGCCACATTCATCAGCTTTGTCAATGGCTTGTCCGCAACAATGAGTCCCACATCAACCCAGGCCTTAACGTGCGCATGCCAGGGCACAGAGTCGACCATCTTGTAAATGCGCTGCTTAAACTGATGGACCAGCACATGATCGGCTTTCGATGCCGTTGTATTGTATATTATATAAGATTCAGTGCCATCGGACTTGGCTATATATATATGCGAACACAATGGAAAGATTTCATTAAATATACACTGATTATGTCCAGAACGTACCATATCCAATAAGAACGATTAATACACATATTGAAAGACTTTTAAGATTCATTCCTGATAAATGATTAAATGCAACTGCTTCATATCTTAAAATGTGCCATCTATACATTACTGAAGTCTCATCGTATCCAATGAACCATAGCAACTTTGATTTACCGCATTTGTGACGTAGATTACTCTAAATATATTCATTATTGTATATTTTCCAAGCCATCAACTTATTTTCACGCTACCTTTAAGTGCAATTTATATTTTATTTATTAGCTTTTAGATTGATGTATAGATTTGTTAATTTTCGATAAATCGGGTAATCGAGAATTTATTTTTAAAAAATTTAATAGTAATGATATAATTGTGATCATATTAAAGATAAATAGTAATAATATGCAAGAAAAAAATAATAAAAATAAATCAATGCAAATATTTTATTCACTCATTAAGTTTAAAAAATTCAAAATGCATTTTTATTATTTTGCATTTTTGTTTCTTTTTTTCTTTTATATAGAAATTATGATTTATATTTAAAAGATACGATTTATGTTTAAAGATAATTGTGATCATATAATAGTCAAGTAATAATAATATGCAAGAAAAGAATGAAAAAATAAATCAATGGAAATATTTTCTTAACTCATTAAGTTTCACAAAATGCAAAATGCATTTTTATTATTTTCCATTTTTGTTTTTTCTATTATATAAAAAATTTATATTCAAAGGAAAGGAAACCATTGCAACCAATCCAGCCAATCAAAATAGTCCTCATGCTGCGATCCTTCCCAGCTATCGGAACGACACGGTCTGCTATATAAATTCAGTTTGTATGACTTTAGCGAGTTCTGCTCATTCAGTGCCGCCATCAATTCCTTTCGTTGCTTGCGATAGACTTTTTTGCATTTCTTTGACAGTGGCTTATGGATCAAATAGCTTTCGACGACAGCGATGCGACTGAGCAAATTACTCTCCAACTTGAGTCGCAAGTAATTATAACTTACAAATTTGTCATAAGCTTGCAATTTCAACTGCAGAGATTCGGGACCCAGACTGGCTATATGCCGCAAATGCGCCGTTTGCTGATCGTATTCGGCATTCCCAACAATGTGGCCTATTTTAGATATCTCTAATATATGTGCAATCTTCAAATTTATCTTTTCGTTCTCAATATTATTCTGAAAAAAAAAAATCCTCCAAGTGTTGTCTTCTAAAATTTTTTTTGGGGAATGCAAAGCATAATTACCTTATTTGTGGTTGTTTGTGTGGACAATGTTGTCGCTTGAGGTGGTGCTTTGGATGTTTCAGCTGGTGGTTTAGTTGTTTGAGGTGGTGGTATGGGTGTTACTATAGGTGGTGTAGTTGTTTGAGGTGGTGGTATGGGTGTTACTGTAGGTGGTGTAGTTGTTTGAGGTGGAAGTGTGGCTGTTACCATAGATGATTCGGTTGTATCTACAGGCGGAGGAGTTCGTCCAGAAGGCGGCGCCGAGTCCACAATCACTGTATATAAATTATGCACTCTTGTTATTTACTGTTTCTCGTGAAAATATTCACAGGATAATTGTAGTTCGATTTTCCGTAACTTACGAACTGTGCTGAACAGCAGACACAGCCCTACAAAATAGTATAGAGGACGTTTCATGCTTTTGCTGCGCTTTCAGTATTGCAGTTGATTTAGTCGAACTAGCTGGGTATTCCACTTTTATACTTAGAATAGTAAGGCGGAAGAGACCTTTTTGTTTAAGATAATACTTAATGAAAATTGTCAAAGCAAAGCTCTTAAAAGTGCTAACATAAATTTCAATTTTATTATTTTATTATCTCATGTTTTATATTTGTTTTAAGTTAATTTCTTTAAGAACACGACAGAAGATAAGTTAACACTTTGACTCCACTTAAAACAATATTTTATATAGGAGATTATTGAATTCAGCATAAATTATAAATTAAAATTAGCTAAAAAGCTTCTACAATATTTTTTTTTTTAAGTAAACAAATATTTTTAAGGAAATATTTGGTCTATAAAATCAATTGAAATTATATAAAAATATTTTTATGTCAGTTGATAAAATTCACAAGATTTCATTCGGGTATTTCGGTTCTCCAAATCTCACTTCTATTAATGTTTTTAATATAATATAACAACTTACTGTAAAGCAAACGGGCTTTCAGTTCGTAATTAATAATGGACTACAAAGTAACTTTCTCAGTCACTTTTCTTTATTGATGCAACTAAATTTTGTTAAAAGAAACACCAAGACATATACATATTATATTTTTATTTTACTTTTTAATTAATTTTCTTTCTTTTTGGTTAATTTGATTTTTAACGGGTTAATAAATGACATCCACAAGTTGTGGAACGCAAAAAACAGCTGCGCTCAGGTGACTACAGGTGAGAGAGAGTCTCTGAGTCTTTGAGGGAGAGAGCGCACGATCCACAACAATGACGATTACAATGACGATGAAGACGACGACGACGACGACGACGATGTTGCTGTTGCTGTTGTCGGTCGTTCGTCTTGCTGGGCTCAGCAGAGTCTGGTCTTGCAGTTGGTTTTCCAAGTGGTCGAGTGCTTAGCTCAGTTCTTGAACGACTGCTGGCCGTGTTGGTAGCCAAACGCGGAACGCTGCTTGATTAACGTGAACACCGGAATCGTGTCTCGAGTGTCGAGTGTCGAGTGTCTCGCGGAGTCACAATCGGGAGTCGCAGTCGGTGGCGGCAGACGACGCGTTTTGCTTTCAATAGACTTGGTTACTTGGTTCGGCTTTATGGACATTTTGTGAAATGCAAAAACAACTTAACAAAATCAAGCACTAAAATCAACAAAGTGAAATTTCGAATGCGTTTTGAAAATTAATTGGCAAAAGAAATAAACGCATCAGTGTTAGCAAATAAAGAAATCGCTTCCATCAAAGAAATAGAAAAACAAGTTTAAAGCCGCAACAACAACAACAACAACAAATCAACGAAACTAATATTGCAATTGAAATCCATACAAAGTGCATAACAAATTGTGTATGAAAAATTAAATCAACAAATTGAAACAAATTCAAATCAAATCAAACAAGGCGCAAAAGTCTTTGAGAGGTGCGTAAGAAAATTTATGAAGAAAATCATAATTTGTAAGCTCGAAATAGACAAGAAAAACAGCTGAGAAAATAGCACGAAATTGATAAATGTAAATAGGAAATAGAAAACTATCAGCTGGCAAAATATAAACAAATTGTGAATTTTTACTAGCTCAAAGAGCTGAAGTTAAGTGAACTTTTGATTGTCTATTATTGTCGTCGTCGAATTGGTGTAATGCAAAGTTCTTATTTTGTTGTTGTATATTTTTTTTGTGGCTACAGAGCGCAAAAATACAAATATCGCTCTCGACCAGCTTATATACAGGCACATGAAAACTGTTAAAACCTGTTTTCAGCGGCGCATGCGCCAAGCAGAACTCGGGAACAGCAACAACAGCAACAACAACAACAACAGAAACTGGCAAGAGAAGAAAAGTTGGTAGGGCCCTGGCCGAGTCGAATCTGTGAGCAAACTGTGAAGCAGCCGGCCCAAAAGACGTACAACACCTGAAAAGGAGGCGCAACAGAAGCTGCCTGAACGCGCCGCAGCTCGATAAAGCCGATACAAATTTATCAAGTTCAATTGCAAAACGAAAAAACGAAACGAGATCGAAGAGTTTGAAGTTTCGACTTCCTACTAGCCTAACGCTGGCTGAAGGGCAAGGAACCAAATATTGCACTTGTTCAAACAAACGCATCAGTCAAAAAAAAAAAAAAGAAAAAATAATTGTTATTTGCTCATTTCTGTATTTGTTTCAAGGCAGCCTCGCCAAGTATCTATCTAGGCAGTATTTGCACAGCAGCCGCCACTGAAACACTTCAATTTTGGTGTTTTTTATTCACTCAACTCTTTGTTATTTTCTTGTTGTTGTTGTTGATGATGTTATCTGAACTGGCGCAGCTTAAGATACAAGCGTGCGAGCAACAGCGCCAGATAAGCGCGAGATATGCGCAAAACAAAATCTCACGAAAAAAAACTTTTAAGATGCAAAAATTGTCAGATTTGATACAGCGCAGATTGGATGCCCTTAGGTAGTTGTAGAAAATGTTTTCTATCGAATTTATATAGTTAAAATACTTGATATATATAAAATTTCATATATCTGTAGGTATAGGACAATAGACAGAATAGATTTTAAGAATTTTAAGTGTATTACACGAAAACATATTTATATTGATCTTAAATGTCAATACAGAAATATATAATTTATTTTTGTATATTCCTGGTCTGCTTATTCCTAAAAATATTCAATTTTGCGAAGTATATTTTAAGGCTATAGATTTAAGTATAGTTGATAATAATTCAAAATATTATAAATTTTTAGGAGTAATTTCTATTGCTATA